CATATGTACTGGTTTAATTAGGAAAAATATTTTCGAGACGATCAATTCTCAACGCAACATTTCCATCCGAGAACTAGTTCTCTAGCTCCTGCTTCACGTAGTGCATCGCTGGTCGTGTGCAAATTAAGTGTTATTGCATGGAGGATTTTCTTCTCTGCTCATCGTTGTTAGATGCGCGAAATGGTGCCGATGTTGCCGCCAAAGGTAACGCCAACGTTAACATGTTGCGTGAACTTCGCAATGTTTCCAACGCAGCCATTATAGCATATGGTATGATAGTGCGCTGTCCGCTCTCCCCCTGGCGGAGATGCGCGAAATGGTGCCGATGTTGCCGCCAAAGGTAACCGCCAAAGGTAACATGTTGCGTGAACTTCGCAATGTTTCCGACGCCGCCGTTGTAGCATATGGTAGTGTGCTGTCCGTTCTCCCCCTAGCGGACAACCTCTCACGCCGCTGGGTTGGCGGTTTCGTGATCTTGCAGGAAATCACGCAGGCTTCTCCCTGCCGTGTGTCTGTGTCTTGTGTGCATGTTTTTGATCGGCATCGACCGCGCTAACCTGCTGACCGATAGAAAAGCCGTCAGTTTTCGAACAGAAGATAAACAACGTGAACACCCTACTGTTCTTTGTGTGTTAATGTGCCTATCTTGGTCAGATGCGTGGGGGACAGCGTGCGAGTCGGCGAGGACACGACGTTCACTTTCAGGGCGGCGCCAGTAGAGTGAGTCACGCAACAGGGTCACGTCCATCGTTCAGTACCAAAACAGCAGTCTTGTTATCACCGTGCTGGTTCCTTCCCCCCAGTGTTGTAGACATTATCTGTGTTGTAAAGTGCTGGCGTTTATGTGCGTGAATGCCGCTATAGTTCTTCTCAAGTGCTGTTCGAGACCTACACCCCGCTACTGACCCGCTTGTTTTCGTCTCGAGTCTTCCAGTAATATGTACTTTGGACCATGTGTGTTTTGTTTTTTACCTACCCCTGCGGCGAAAGTCGAAAGTTGTCTTTTGTTCGATTGCATCTCCGCGAGAAAGGGATAGGGTAACACGCGAGCCGATTTGCTCTCCGTGTCCCGGTGGTCTGAATGTTAATATTGTTTATGCCGTTTTGGAAATCTTCGTTCCTGTGTGTGCAGCGGCCCTTTCTCAGACAAGGTCAAGGTGATCTTGGAGCACCCCAACGGAGAAGAGCCGTTCATCGCGGAGTTGACGGAGGAGAGGGAGTCCCATCGTGTGGACAAGGGGGAAGGGGGGGGAACCTACAGGGTTTGTTTCCGCAACATGAAAACCAAGGGGAGAAGTACGAGAGTGGAGGTGAGGGGGGCGGGGGAGACAAACCGGCAGAGAGAGAGGGATGGGTGCTTTCGCACGGCCACTTGTTGACCGTTTCGGCGTTTTGAACGCTTGGTCTTGATATTGACTCTCAGCGGCTTGTGGTGATCGGCCGTGACGCCGTAGACGACGTTCGTTGCCTGTTTAGGTGGTGACAAAGTTCAAGGATGTCCCATCCCCTTCCACTGCTGTGGTTATTTCCCGAACGGTTACTTTTTCTGTCTTCTTAATGCTTCGTCTTAACGACCGCGATCACTCTTTTTCAGCTGGTGGAGACGACCTTAGCGGTGACACAAGGCGCTTCTCAGGTCGCCAAGCACCTGCAGCCAGTGGACGAGCTCCTTAAGCATGCCAAGGTGAGCTGGCTGGCTTTCTTGGCCTCATTCTCGGGGGGGGGGAGGGTGTACTCATAGTCGAGCATGCCGTAGTCGTTAGACCATTGACCTCGCATCCCTACAAAGCCGGGACGGAGCACGCCGGGTTCTCACCGGACCAGGCTCTCACATCACCAAGCGCGAAGCGCCGTGAGATATTCGGCGAGTCGCATGAAGGGTGCGCTGCATCCTGCTAAGGGTGTTCGGCATCTTGTGCTTACTTCCTTGCGTACGGATGACAGCTGCGTATGAATTAATTTATTTTCTGGTGCTTTCACTTCCAGAGACAGTTGTAAGCACTGTGTAACTGCCTCGAGGGTGCTTGACCATTTTAACACAACGTGGTGCGATCATCCCCCTTGCGCGGAGTGAGGGTTCTCCACCCCGCACAACATGATCTACTCGACCACCATTATGGTTACCGCCAAAAAAAAACACGGAGGTAAAAAAAAACCGGTAACCTGGTTGCCGAGTTCACAAAGTTAATTGGCTTGTTTTACAACGTCGTTGCCAAGCGACGAAACCCAATCC